CAAGATGGCCACCGTCCTGTGTGGCCATGACTCAGTCAAAATTCTGAGTGCCTTCTATATCCTAGGTGTCCCCACAGAGTTCCAGTCCAGTCCACCCTCCCTCTGCCAGATCCCATGTTGAGTGGATGTAGCTAATTTATTGCTTGATCCTGGCATTCTGCACTGTGGAGTCAGCTTGGGATTTTAACCCCAAGAGAGCTGCTCACAGCTGAAATAGCTGCTGTCTGTGGCCTTCCAGCCAGTCTTCTTGCACCTCTATGGAACTACCAGGCTCAATTCAGTGTTCTTTTTGCGTTTTTTTTCCCCCTATCCTTGGTTATATGATCCTTTCCAGCTGCTTTTCTGTTGCTTTTCCCCAATAATTTGTCTTTAATTTAATTGTATTTCCAGTTTGGTCCTGGCATATGGTTTGTGTAGCTTCCATTCACTCCGCTGCCATTAGGAATCCCTGTTCATAGTATTTTTAAACAATTCTTTGTATTTCTCTGGTGTCAATTGTTACTTCACCTCTTTTGTTTCTGATTTTTTAAATTTGGGTTTTCTCTTTTTGTTTTTTGGTGAGTCTAACTAAGGGTCCATCAATCTTTTTTATCTTTTCAAAGAACTAGCTCTTTGAAAAGAACCCACTTTTAACACTATTGTCAAGTGTTACTTTCCAGAGTAGATTTGCAGGCCAAGTAAATGTTCAGTTATCCTCTAGCTTTTGCCTGTAGGCTATTAGTTCCAGTTACTTGTTGAGCCTTGGATTGTAGCCCTCAGCTGAATTAAAAAAATCCCTCAGGTATAAGAGGATTTTCAGCTGGTGGGGTATTGCTTGCTATCTGACTCTGTTAATGAGCCTCAATTTGCATTTCTGTGGCCTTCCCTAGTGTTGTTAATTTCCTGAGGGAGGGGCTGATGCTTCTTCCGGGAGATTTTGGCAGGGGCTCTTTGATTAAGATGGCACTGTCCTATGAGGGAGTGATTCAGCATAAGTTTCCTAGTGTTCTCCATCCCAGCTCTCTCCCCTTTGTGACAAAATGCTTGACTCTCTTCACACAGTTCCAGTCCAGTTTACTCTCCCTCTGTTGGAGCCCAAGGTGAGTGGCTATCACTGATTTGCTGCACGGGTCTTTCTGAGGAGTGCCAGTTTCCCATGCCTCTCTTTGCTGCACAAAGCCTCAGCTCTGGTGATCTCAGCCAGGTGTTATGTGGGAACCTTTTCCTGTCCCAACACTCTGTGCGAGGTGGGGGTGAGAACCACTGCTCTCTGCTGTGTGATCAGCTTGGAGTGTTAACTCCTTACTTCTCTGAAGAAACTGCTCATAGGTAAACCAGCTCTGAGCTGCTGTCTGTGGGCTCCCAGCCCACCCTATCATGCTTCCACCATTCCTACAAGGCTCAATTTGGTGTCTTCTTTCTATCCCTGCACCTGAGGGGCCACCAAGGTGATGCACTTTCTGTAGTATGTCTTGTAAAGCAAGTGTGTGTGCAATGAATTCTCTTGCCTTTTTCTTAATTTGGGAATCTCTTTACCTCACCTTCATTTTTGGAAAGTAATTTGCTGATATAATATTCCTGTGGACAGACTTACACATTTTGACTATTCTATCCCATGCCTTCTGGCCTCCATAGTTTCTGATGTCCAGTCACCTGCTCACTTAACTTGTTTCTCTTTTTTATAATCACGTTTCTCTCTTTGTCTTTTAACATTTTTACAATAATTGGTATGTTGTGGATTTCTTTGTGCTCATTCTACTTACATTTTATTCAGCTTAGATGTATATATGAATAAATAACTTGTATTGAATAGTGTTTAAAATTTTCAACTTTCCCTCTTCAGATATTTTTACTGCTCAGTCCTCTCTCTGCTGTCCTTGTGGTATTCCCATCACCATAAAGCTGCTGGTTTTCTCTTCAGGTCAATCAAATCTTTGAACCCCTCCAGTGACTTTTTTTTTTTTTTATTATTTCACTCATTGTACCCTTCAACTCCAGAATTTACATTTATTCTTTTATACTAATTTTGTCTCTTGGTTGATACTGTCTAGTTGATGAAATATTTTCATCATCCATATGTTTTCTTTGCAAACAATTTTTATTTTTTTACACATTTAAGATTTTTAAAAAATATGTTTTTATTCTTTTTTTTTTAGAGAGAAAGGAGGAGAGAGATAGAAACATTGATGTGAGAGAGAAACACAGGCTGCCTCCAGGATGCTGCCTACTAGAGGTTGAGCCTTCATCTCAGGCATGTGTGCTGACTGGGAATCAGACCAGGACCTCTCAGTCCATGGGAGGATGCTGAATCCACTGAGCCACACCAGCTGGGCCAATTTGAAGATTTTTGGCAACCCTATATCAAGCAAGGTATTGGGGCCCCTTTTTCAACAGCATTTGCTCACTTTCTGTGTCTTGGTCCCATTTGGTAATTCTCATGATATTTCAAACATTTTCATTAGTATTACAGTTGTTATGGTGATATGAAAACAGGGATCTTTGAGGTTACTATTGTAACCAATAAATGTATATTATCCCACTGTTCTACTCATTGACCATTTCTGTCTCTTTCCCTTTCCTTCAGTATACCTAGTTCCTGAGGCACAGCAATATTGAAATTAGGCCCAATAATAATCCCACTTTGGCCTGTAAGTGTTCAAGTGAAAGGAAGAATCTAACATTCCTCCCTTAAGCCTAAAGCTAGATATGATTAAGTTTAGCAAGGAAGGCATGACAAAGAGGCCCAAGGCTAGGCCTCTTGCTCTATTAAGCCAGATAATGAATACAGAAAAAAAGTTCTTAAAGGAAATTGAAGATGCTATTCCAGGGAACCCAAGAAAGATAAAATAAAATAAAATAAAAAACCTTATTGTTGACACAGAGAACACTTTAGTGGTTGGATAGCCATAAGCATAACCATAATCTAGAGCAAGACCCTCACTTTCTTCAATACTCTGAAAGCTACAGAAAAGAGTTTGAAACTGGTAGATATTATTTCAGGAGGATTAAAAAAAGAAGCCATTCCCACAAACAAAGAAGTGCCAAGTGAAGCAACAAGTGCTAATGGAGAAGCTGCAGCAAATTATACAGAAGCTCTCGCTAAGATAGTTAGTGAAGGTGGCTACAATACACAACAGATTATCAATCGTGACAAATAAGCTTTACATATCAAGAACTTGCTGTTAGAAACCTTCATAGCTAAAGAGGTAAAGTAAGTGCCTCCAGAATTTCAAATGAGAGGCTGACTATATGTTTAGGATATAATATATCTGGTGAGTTTACTTTGAAGCCAATGACCATTTGCCAGTCTAAAAATCTTAGGACCCTTCAGAACTATGTTCAATTTGCTCTTCCTCTAAAATTAGAACAACAAAGCCCAGATGACAGCACATTGGCTTACCACATAGATTTCTGAATATTTTAGCCCATTGTTGAGACATACCACTGAGAAAAAAAGAATCCTTTCAAAATATTGCTGTGAACTGTCAAAGTACCTGGTCACCCAAGAGATCTGATGGAGATGGGCAATGAAACTGAAGGTATATCAACCAACTAACACTACATCCATTCTGAAGCATATGGGTAAAGAGGAGTAATTTTGAGTAATTTCAAGTCTTACTGTGTGAGAAATGCATTTTGAAATGGCATAGCTACCATGGATAGTAATGGCTATGATAGATCTGGGCAAAAAGTTGTAAATATTGTGGAAATGACTCATGATGATATAGGCCATTGATGAACCTTTGATTCATGGGAGAGGTCAAAATATCAATAGTAACAGGAGTTTGAAGGAAGTTGATTCTGACCCTCCTGAATGACTTTGAAACATTCAAGGATTTTATGAGGGAAGTAACTGGTGATGTGGCAGAAATATAAGAGACCTAGAATAATAAGTGGGGCCTGAAGAACTGGAAGCTGAATTCCTGCTGCAATCTCATAGTAAAATTTAATGGATGGAGGAGCATCTTCTTATGAATAATAAAAGAAAATGGTTTCTTGAGATGGAATCTACTCTTAGAAAAGATGCTGTGAAGATTGTTGAATAGATAACAAAGAATTTAGAACATTACCAAAACTTAGCTGACAAAGAAGAGGCAGGTTTTAAGAATACTACTCCAATTTTTAAAAAGATCTGCTGCTATGATGCTATTAAGCAGCATTGCAAATAACAAAGAAATCATCCATGAAAGGAAGAGTCAATGGATGTGGCAAACATCACTGTTGTCTTATTTTAAGAAATTTGCACAGATACTTCAACCTTCAGTAACCACCACTCTGATCTGTCAGCAGCCATCAACATTTGGGAAAGACTCTCCGCCCCAAAAAATTACAAGTCACTGAAGTCTCAGTTGATTATTAGCAGTTTTTAGACATAAAGTATTTTTAACTAAAGATGTTCATAGATTTCTTTTTTAGATTAAATGCTATTGCACACAGAGTAGACTACATTACAGTGCAATCATAACTATACATTCTGGGAAACCAAAAATTTCACGTGACTTGCTTTTTGTTATAGTCACTCTATTGCTAAGGTCTGGAATCAAGCAAACCCCAAAAATCTCTAAGGTATGCTTGTACTTAAGGCAAGAATTTAACTAATTAAAGGAGGGTATTGGCAAAAACTTTCTCCATGGCCCAAGCCAGTTTGGCTCAGCGTTAGAGCGCTGGCCTGCGGTCCAGGGAGACTCAGGTTTGGTTCCCGCTCAGGGAACGTACCTAGGTTGCAGTTTCTCCCCAACCCTGGTTGGTTGTGTGGGTGGCAGCCACTCTCGATGTGTCCCTTTCACGTCGATGTCTCTGTCTCTCTGTCTCTCTGTCTCCCCCCTCCCTCCCTCCCTCCCACTCTATCTGAAGAAAAAAAAAAAAAAAAAAGGAAAAATGTCCTTGGGTGAGGAAAAAAAAACTTTCTCCATGTAATAGTAAAATATAGATACTTTTGTTCTTAACATTCCACACTTAATTCAACTCCAAAGAGGATAAATAAATCTCAAATATTATATTTTTAACACTCTTGTCCTTACCTGGGAAATCCTTTGATTGTGTTTTGATTTGACCTTTTATTATGCCATGGGTAACTGCATCTGTTGAGTGTTTTGTATTAGACCCTATAGAAACAAACAGATTTCAAGACACATCATATGGTCATTTACATACAAATCATTTACCTGTGAGTTTCCATGACAGTGTGTGTGTGTGATGGGTATAACTAGCATGGTTTATTTTTCAGAAAATTGTTAAATTGAAATGTCTGTATTAGAGAATTACAAAACCTTAAATTCGAAAAGATGGATCAAGGATATAAGCCATATCATGTTAATTTTCAGAGATGTTTAGTGACTTGTCAAAAACCAAATATCTCGGAAATGCCAAAATTTATATACATTTTAGGGACTATGCCATATAATTCCTTAAAGAGTGATTATTCCATACAAATTCTCTCTTATGCAAAAGGTAAAACTCCCAGAGAAATTATGATAATACAGTTACTTCCAGCCTTACATTAAAAGCACACTTTTTGTAATGATGTACCTGGTGAAGTAGAAGTTAACTGTTTGTTTGTTTGTTTAATACTGGACAAGTTGTAAACCACACATGGTGTAGTCACAGAAATTTACCATCAGCCAGAAATACGTTGACTCATCCAGGAAAATTATAATTTTCCTTTCCGTTCTGTAACTGTAAACATGTAGATGTCAGTGGTTAAGAGAAGAAAAATACATTGATTGGATTGAGAAAAGGTGCCTTTTTAGTTCCCTTTGGATGGAGACCTTGTGTCTCGCAAAGAGAAAATAGTTAAGATAGCAGCAGTACCATGGTCCTAATTGGATCCATTTTCACTTGAATTTTCATATGATTCAAAGTTTTTGGTATAATCAAGAACAATTAACTTGGTCCAGTGACAAATAAATGCATGAATGGTATTAAAGAGATATTAGTATTGTAAAAGCTATAAATGTACTTGGGGACCTAAATTCAACTTCAGGGATAACAGTTATTGTGTGGAAGTCAAGTTTTAGTAGACCATGCAAGTGTAGATGTAAACATCTCATTGTCCTAACATTGAACAGCAGAATACTTGCTTTGAAGAAATGGTTGAGCCCATGAATAAATATAAAAGTTTGTACTAAGATTTTGCCAGCCCAAACTTACCATATCATTTTCTTTTTTTTATTTTTTATCCTCACTTGAGAATATTTTTCCATTTTATCTTCAAATAAAGTGGGAGGAGGAGGAAGGGAGAGAGAGAGAGACAGAGAGAGAAACATTGATATGAGAGAGACACATCAGTTGGTTGCCTCCTGCATCACCCCAACCAGGGCCGAGACCAAACTGCAACTGAGGTACATGCCCTTGATTGTAATCGAACCCATGAATCTTTGGTCTGTGGGCAAATGCTCTAACTGCTGAGCAAAACTAGCCAGGGCACCATACCATTTACTTTACAGAGAGTGTAACAGCTGGAGTATCATTAACAAAATGGAAAAAAATGCCTCATATTGGGCGGAACTAATGTTCATTAATTTATTAGAAATATTTTGTTAAAGATACAAGCTGTAGCCCTGGCCAGTTTGGCTCAGCGGTTAGAGCCTCGGCCTGTGGACCAGAGAGTCCCGGGTTCATTTCCTGCTAAGGGCATGTACCTCGGCTGCAGTTTATCCCCAGCCCTGGTTGGCGGCCAGTTGATGTGTCTCTCTCACATCGATGTTTCTCTCTCTCTCTTCCTCCCTTTCTCCCTCCCGCTCTATCTGAAGATAAATGCAAAACTTTATGTCCTCGGGTGAGGATAAAAAAAAGAAAAAGAAAAAAGATACAAGCTGTAGCTTCATCAAACTGGGGAATGTTATCAGATATATCTTAGCAGCTCTGTTCTTTCTCTGATAGGTATAAGTAAGAAAAACCAAGTAATAAGGATCAAGTATGAAAAGTATACTAAATTAAGTGGGGGGCAATCAAAATAGCATTTCAGGGGAGAAATGTTGGAGAAACCTATAACACAATAAAAACCACAATTTTCTTTCCTCAAAATATCTTCCTATTGCTTTAAGTCTTTATTAGTCTCTTACCATTTTTATTTCAGGAAGCTATTTTTATTACATATATAGAATATCATACATTTTGCCCATATAAAGTGTAAAATGCAATGGATTTTTAAAATATATATTCAGAGCTGTGTAACTACCAACATTGTAAATTTTAGATTCTATTTCAGATAGTAAAAAAATTCCAGAGAGACATTCCTAGATCTCTCCTAAGCAGCTGTATTACCTCTTTCCAGTTTTTGTGCTATTATTACACATCAGACACACCTTATTGGCAGGGGGATATGTACCAAGACCCCCCAGTAGATGAATGCCTGACACCATGAGTTGTACCAAACCCTAAATATAGTGTGAGCTTTTTAATACAGACTTACCTATTATAAAATTTTTGGCTTTTCCTTGGAACCCCCAACTGCCAGCATCACTACTCTTGCATGTTGGGGCCATAATGAAGTAAAATAAGGTTTCCTTTAACACAAGCACTGCAATATCATGACAGGGCTACTGATGTGATAAACAAGATGGCTACTAAGTGACTAAAGGGCTGGTAGTACTCAGTATGTGTACACTGGAAAAATTAATTATTTATGTTCTGCGTGACACAGAAGGGGACAGCATGAGATTCATCACTATACAGAATGCTGAATAATTTAAAGCTTATGAACTAATTATTTCTGGAATTTCTTACTTGATATACCTGGATCGTGATTGACCATGAGTAACTTAAAATGCACAAATTAAAACTGCAGATAATGGGGTATTATGGTTCTGAATACACCTATGATATAAACTTATTTGTGATACTTATTTTTATATAACTGTATGCCTTCTGAAGAAGTTAAGAGAAGAAAGAAGAGAAAGTGTATATTCACAACATTCTTCTATATTAGCCTTCTTATTCATAATTTTGGGTTCTCTTCATAGGCTCCTGTGCATTTGAATTAACATCTGCTATTATCATCTTACTCAAATACATTGTGACTCCTACACATCTCCTTTGTGCTGTTACTGTGGAATGAATTACTTTTCCATATTTTATAGGCATGATAATATAATGAAATACATATTGATTATGCAATTGCATTTTAAATCAACTATGAAAACAACATACATTCACACTGTCTTTTGGAATTATAGAATTACTTGAACCTATGCTACTTATTTATTATTATTATTATTTTATAAATTTATTTTTGTTACAGATGTTTCCTTTTTTCCCCATTGACACCTTCCTTCCCATTCTCTCCCCACCCCATCTCCAGCTTTGTTGTCCAGGTTCATCGGTTATGCATACATGCATATAAGTTCTGTGGTTTATCTCTTCCCTCCCCCCTCAAACCCCTAATCTGAGCATTGTCAGTATGTACCCTACTTCCACGTTTCTAGGTCTATCCTGTTTCTCAGACTGTTATGTTCATTATATTCCACACATAAGTGAGATCATGTGATATTTGTCTTTCTCTGCTTGGCTTGTTTCGCTTAAGATAATCTGTGCTACTTTAAAGGAAAGATACATATACTGCCTGAAGTCAATTGCTTTCAACATAAAAAACTTACTTTACTATTACTATTAAGTCAGGTGTGCTAGCAACCAAATATCTCTTTTATTTCTCAAAAAATGGAAATCTCTTTTTTATACCTTCAATTTGAAAATTAGTTTGGCTGGATATAACATACTCGGTAACAATTTTATCTATTATACCTTTGAATATGTCATCCTACTGCCTCTGGGACTGCAAAGTTTATGATTTTAATTCAGCTATTCATTTTACAAAATTTCTCTTTTCCATGATGAGTTGTTTCCCCTTTGTGGCTTTTATGATTTTTCTCAGTCCTTCATTAACTTTTACCATAATAGATCTGGTTGTGCATGTCATTGTATTTATCCTACTTAGATCACATAGAATTTGGATGTGCACACAGCTATTTATCATCCGTTTGCAAAATTTCAACGATTATTTATTTCTATGATTTTCTGGCTCTTTTCTCTCCACTCTACTTATGGTTTCCATTATTTTAAGTGTAGATACACTTCTGACCATTCAAATCTATGCTTGAGCTACTCTAGTGAATTTTACTTTAGCTTTTAGTATTTCAATACCACAATTTTCAATGTTTTTATTTTTAGATCTAGTTCTATCTTTTTGGTGATATTTTATTTAATGAGATATTGTCATTTATATTCCTTTCTGTTTTAAGCATAGGAAGCTTCACTTAAAAAAAAATAAGTTAGGAGAGAAAAAGTGGCAGTGGAGTGAATGGAAGCTACACAGACCATCTCCCAGGACCAAACTGGAATTACAATAAAAATAAAGACAAATTGTTAGGAAGGGGCAACAAAAGGCAGCTTGGAGGACCACATAACCAGGGACACTGACTAAATCCTGGTGGGCTTGTGAGGATGCGAGAGGTGGACGGGAGCCCACGGTCCGCAATGGCCTGGGCAGGGACCTGCTGCGGCCTCGACTGGGACCAGCAGCCTTGGCTGGAAGCTGAGCCCTAGGCTGGGTCCTGTGGCCTTGGCTGGGAACAGCAGCTGCCTCGGCTGAGACCTGCGGCTGCCTTGGCTGGGTCCTGCGACCTTGGCTATGTGCTAGGCCCTCTGCCGGGACCAGCTGCCTCAGTTGGAACCTGCACCCTCAGTTGGGGCCTGCAACCTCTACTGGGTAATACACCCTCGGCTGGGAGCTGCCCTGCCTCGTCCGCTCTTAGCTGGGAGCAGCACACATGGGTTAAAGTCCCAGGCAGCTCCATGGCGCAGAGCCCAGACAGAGGCTAAATTGGCAGCAGCCACTCACCTTGGGCTCTGGCAGAGGGAGGGCAGACTGGACTGGAACTGTGTGGGGACACTCGGTATTTGGAGGGTGCTCAGAGTTTTGCTGAGTGCAGCCACACAGGACTATGGTCATCTCGCTCCTTCCCAGGGCTCTAGGGAGAGGTGGCGGCCCCTCCCTCAAGATTCAATCCCACCTGGTGGCCATTGAAATGCTAACCGAGGCACATTAACAACCAGCATCTGCCCCAACCTCTGGAAATCCTCTTACACTGAACACCCCAGGGAGTTT